GAACAATTTTATTTAATAAAAGAAACAAAGAAAGAACTCGGAAAGATGTCTAATGGTGAGGGAAGAATTTTGATTTTATTTTTGTATAAAAGATTTATTTTCTTAATGTTAAAGGAAACTGTTTGTTACTGCTTTATTGTTGGCAAGAAAATATTGATTGTTATAATAAAGTATTTTGTTAACACGTAATGTTTGGCGAAATTCTATCCTAGATCTTTTGGATCTTTTCAAATTATGAAGCTTAAAAAGTATCGGTACCGATACAGTATCTGCAATACTGGCCCTGTATTTACTTGGTATCGGATCGATACCAAAATTCCCAGTATCGCCCACCTTTACTATTCATTTGTGTTAGCATCAGAGAGGCTAGCGACTAGCATGGATAAGCTGGGGTTAGCATTGGAGAGGCTATCAACTAGCTTGTAGGCTGCGCTCAGAATACAAAACGAGCGTCTCATATGGGACACTTCAGTTTGGCTGAAAATTCGGGACATCCTGCTAATAAGGGACAGTTGGCAACCCTAATTAAACATAAACATATTACTGTGAAGCAGCCAGCTTTAGTTACCACCTGAATTAGCAGCTGTGTTTGCCCTCATCTGTTGGTCGACGGCAGTGTTTTTTTTCTCTTTAACCAAATTTAGAGAAAATCCAGAACTATCAAGTAGAGGCTTTTTACAGTTTTTACAGGGTATTAAATTAGGCTTCTCTATATTGAAACATAATTTATTATAATTCATATACAGATATTGCTCATAATTTCACAACTACATCAGCCTGAGCAGCCTTTTTCACTTCTCTCCAAGTATGAATCCAGCTTTAAACCTATCTCTGTGAGGGTGACGTTCACTCACTGTTTTGACTCTGTCGGCTGCTCTGGCAACTTCCTGATAACACTATTACTCAAATTTGGATGCCACCGCACCACATAGAGTACATGTAAACATCCAGTGTGAGAAAAGTCTTTAAGGTATATTAGGAGTGGCGTTACCTCAAGATCTGCTGGGTGAAGGTGTGCTTCTGCTCTGAGGACACATGAGCTGAGGGGAACCCGGGGGTCTGCAGGGTCTCTGTCAGCCACTCGGACAGTAAAACCGGACAATGTCTGTTCAGACTGAGCAGCACGTCGGAGAAGTGCTCCGTCAGGCTGCGGGAGGAGCCACCTCCGATCCCCTGTAAAAAGATGTAAAAAAACAATAAACACTCATCAGAGGAGAATCGTGTGCTGCTTTGGTGTAGAAATACAGCAGGTAAAATAAGTATTGAACACGTCACCATTTTTCTCAGTAAATATATTACTAGAGGTGCTAATGACATGAAATTTTCACCAGATGTTGGT